TATATATATATATATATATATATATATATATATATATATATATATATATATAAATAAATATGTTTTGTGAAGGCCCATGTATGAAAACACATGCACTGAATGTTTTTAGATGTTTTTCAGTATAAATAATTTTTATATGTTTTCCAGTATAAATAATTTTTGTATAAAAAAATAAATGTGACAGCCTTCATTTTGATATTATAACAACTGAGCTATGGATAATAATATTAAACTTATACCCACAAGCAAATATATTAGAGATATTAGACTTACAAAAAATCCAAAACAGAAATATCATTTTAGTAGATATTTAGAAGAAGGTTAGAAAAAAAAAAAGAATCAATACCTGTCAGTAAGAGTAAAGTCTTTACTTAGTAAAGACCTTCTTTTTGTTTGTTTGAGTTCCAGGCAAGTTGTGAGCACCAGTCTGAGAGAACCTTTTATAATTCAAACCCATTGCAATCAATGAAAAAAAAAAAAAAATATGAATATCTTTTAATATATGTTTAGAATCTACAATTTGAAATAGCTAAACCAGTAAACTCTCAAGATATAAAATACAATGACTTGTGGCTTTGTAGTCTAACACACTTTGAAAATGGTCCAAACATCAGAATTTTTTGTTACCCAATTTCACTCACGAATCTTTTTTAACCCAAACTATTGTTTTCAGTGTTTCCAAAAATCCCGCATGCTGGGATCAATCTCAATCCAGTCTGAAACCATTTATGAACCTGCATATCTTACCACAAATATCACATTTCAATTCCTAGATGTCTATGGTTTTATAGCCAATTGCCACCTCCTGTCAGCACGCTCTCAAGTGAATTATTAAGCACACTCTACTACAATCTGTACCCATCAGATTGAGCTGCTTTCAGGTGTCTCCAGGAAGCTCAACAGGGGCACCTTTATGCACATCTCTTAAGCTTTGCATGCCTCCTTTTCTCATCTTCAAAGTGATTGCCTTCCACTTTTTATGACTGATACAAATTGATTGTGATCAGATGCTTATATATATATATTGCATTTCATTATATGCAATGCAGTCCTATAAAATGGAGATCTTAAGTTTGATAGCATTTCTCTTCCCTGTTTGCAGCACACCATAAAACAATTGCTTTGGAATGTGGCTGTCTTTTTCAGACTAATAGTCAATCCCAATTCAGTGCATGCATTAGAAAAAGCATCCATGAGATGCTGCATAACTCCTTCTGAGTGAGCCACAACATCACAGTCATCAACATATAGCAAATCCCTGATCAGCAACAAGTGAACCTTCGACATTGCATCAAACCTCCTGATGTTAAACAACCTTTCTGTTGACTGATAGTGAATGTAAATTCCAAGGTTGCAGTTCTTAAAAGCCTGTTCAAAAATGATAAAATATAGGACAAAAAGGGTTGGAGCTGAGACAACATTCTCAAATCTCATCGGTTTTCCACCAATATTAACCCATGCCTTCATATCATCATGAAACAAGTGAAGAATGAAAAACTTTTTGGGACATCCTAGCTTCCCTAAAATATTCCACAAAGCCTTTCTGTTCACAGTATCAAATGCCTTTGTTAAGTCAACAAATACCTGGAAGAGATCCATATTTGCTCAACATACTTTTCTTGCAGTTGTCTGGCTGTGAATATCATATCTACAGTGCCAGGTTCAGCCCTAAAGCCCAACTGTGACTCCAGAAGAGCTTCATTAGCAATGCGGTGCAACAAGCGATCCAGAAGAACTCCGCAAAGAACATAGCGGTCAACATCAATATGCTACAAGAATTTCCAGTCATCCCTGTCCCGCTTGCTCTTGTACAAAACAACTATGACAGCATCTTTCCAGTCATCCGGAACACTGTTATTACTCCAGACATCTAGCAACAACGAATGATGCTGATGCAAAAGATTTTCTCTGTGCTTAAAAATCTCAGCATGTGGCCTATCCATTCCAGGTGACTTTCCTCCATTAAGCTTTTTGACAGCACTTTTAACCTCCTCAAACGTTGGAGGCCCCATGAGAAATTCTTTAACAGGCTTTTCAGGTATAGACCTGATAAACTTTTCATCAACCTCTGAGTACCTATTGAGAAGCTCATCAAAATGTTCACGCCATCTCAACAGAATATCATTGGGATCTCGAAGAAGTTTTTTGCCATCCTTAGTCCTTAGAGGAGCAACAGTTGAAGTAGAAGGTCCATAAACATGACAAAGTAGGTTGTACATGGTCTTACTATCCTTTACATCTGACGCAAGCTGTATTTCCTCAGCTTTGTTACTCCACTTCTTCATTGCGTGCAAATTTTGCTGCATATCAGCTTTTACTATCTTTAACTTGGCCTCAATTTCCTTCTTCTGATTACCAGGTAAATCACTATGAAGTAATGCAGAGTGAAGTTTATTTTTCTCTTCCAAGAGCTTTTCTATGTGCTTGTCATTCAGATCAAATCAATCCTGATGCTTCTTATCAGTAAATCTAATAATATCAGCACATACCTCGTAAACTGCCTCCTTGAAAGAAGTCCAGTTATTTTCACTTACTAAAGCATCCATCTTATCAACTAGATTCTAACCTCAGAAACTTGCAGATGGCTAACATTCAATCTCTTTGGAAGTGATATCTCTCCTCTTTCCTTTTTACAGACAACACACTTGACTCTGGCTTTTACCAGATGTTGGTCAATCCAACATTCAGCCCCACGCATCACACCCAAATTACATACATACATACATAGATATGCGCGCATGCGCACACACGCACTTGTACATCTTAGCATTGCCCCCACCCTCTCCTTCAGCCCAAGCAACTTAAATTTGGTTTTACAAGCTAGCCATTACCAACAAAAAAAAAAAAAAAAAAAAACCATGTTCAAATATTCATCTAACCAGCCATGTGAAAAAGAATATTGTTGTCTGTCTTGCCTGTATGTTTCTCCTTGAATTTCATTCTTTAATCATTTTATTTACTTATCCCTTTCTCTCTCCCTAAAGTGTATGCACAAATTTTTCTCAGTACTATGTTTTTGTTTATTTTTCCTTTTCCATTAAATTGAATTGATTTTACCCTCTTTGAAAAATTGAATATTAAGTTATTCGTGATTTCTCTGACTTGTGCAAGTATGGGTCACTCTTTTTAAACATGTGGCAACGTCTCCACATACTGAGGGCACCAGGTTGGCAGTTTTCTGGTTGCTATTCCTGACTGGTAGTTAGGAGCCCAAACTCTTGTGTAGTGTCTTAAGAGGCTGCTCTGAGCAACAGTTGCATATCAGGGTTCCTGCAGCACCATGTAGTGCATGGAAAGGTGTCCCTGCATGTGGCAACCCTGAAGACACATTATGTTGCTATCTGCACTAGTTCCTTTCTGCCCATGTCACATTTGATAACCGACTGCTAAATTTGGCCTTTTCTTCACCAATGTAACTCAACATAACCATAAACAACCAATAATATAAATCTAAACCAGTTATAAAAGAAAAAAAAAAAAAAAGAACAAACAAACAAAACAACACCTAAACCCTTTAACACTTCCTTCGTCAACATCCATGGTATTCATACCAACTTCTGCAGTGTGGAATCATTCCTCTTTGGAAAATCTCCTGATATACTAGCTTTCTGTGAGACTAACCATAACTTGTCAATCTTTTCCTCTGATTTCTCAATTTCCGGCTACCTTCTTCACCTTAGAAAGGACTCTAAAATCCTTATACAAGTCCTGGGAGTTTATGTTCGCAGTCATCTCCCATTGGCTAGGGAACTCTCTTTGGAATCTCCAGACTATTCATATATGTTTCCATCTATCTCTTCTCAATTCAGTAAGCTATCTCTTCTTTCTCTACCGTTCCCCTTCCACTCAAGACTGTTGTGTACTTGATATCATTTCCAATAATATGGACATGGTCATCTCTCTACATCCATTTGCAAACATATTCAGGTTCGATGACATCAACGCCCATCATACCATGTGGCTTAAACAGTTTGTGACTGATCTTGCTGGCATCCAAACTCTCAACTTTTCAATCACTCAATCCCTTATGCAAGTGGTTGACTTTCCTAAGTGTTTCTCCAGTAACCTGGATGATAACACTTCCCTTCTTGTTCTGTTTTACCTCCATCCTTGACTCTTGTTGTGCTATGTAGCTCTGCCCTCTTGGCAACTCTGATCATGCGGTATTGTCTGTTAACATCTCCCTCCTCCCCCTTCCAATCATGAACATAGATATTTTTAATTTCTTTTGCTAAAATATTGATACTCATATTCGGGTAGAAGCTCTGTTGTTTTTTTGGGGTTTTTTTAAATAAAAAATCTGCAGAGAGTGTGTTGAAAAGGCACTATTTGGGCTTTGTTTGACTGTAACTCCTAAGTGGCTGAGTGGTTAGACACGTCAGATCCAATGAAGATTCCCCATAGTGGATGCAGGTTTGAATCTTGCCAGAGAACACCTATTTTTTTGGTAAGTTTTCTTGAATATTCAGGTTGGCAGATGCAGTTGGATAAAATATTAAAAACCAAAAACCAGAGCTTCTACTTGAATATGAATATCCATCAAATGTTTAAACAAAAATTAAAAATCACACACACATTCCATAAAGAAAAGTTTAGGAGCTGGTAAAAGCATGTTTAATTAAATGTAATTAAACATTCTTTTGTCAGGCCCTAGCCTATTTCTCATTTAAGTCTCATGAAAATTTTGAAATTAGTAGTTAAACAAAAAAAAAACGTACAATATTATTACAAGAATATTTGCACTTAAAACTATCCTGGTAGGATACATATGTGTTTACTCACTGGCTTGTAGAGTGGGCAAATATTACATTTGCATATATAACATTTATACAATCAATACAAATCACATTTCTACAGGCTAAGTGATATAAAGTAAAAATTAAAGCATGCAGGATGCAACCAAAAAAAAAAAAAAAAAAAAAAAAAACAGCAGTTTGTGATTTCTTCTACTCAAGTGAAAACAAAAAAATCTATAAAAAAAAAACGAGAAAATGAAATCATTACAAAATGAAATCATTACAATGCCATTTACCTGATATTGATGAACTTTTTATGACAGGACTGCTAATCACTAGTGTTTCTTTGACAGCTCTTAGAGGACTCCATGAACCATCTTCACTGAACTGGATTTCTGTACAGCCAGCAGATTGTTGAAGGATCTCAACAAACAATCTGGAATAATTTGAAACATTTATTAAAATATGGAAATTAAAATGTAATGATTTGATAAATAGTCCAAAGAAAATCAAAAAGTGTTTAAAAAGTGTAATTATGTTCAAATTCAATTGCTACAATTTTTCAATAATTTTATAGTTTGACACTGAAAGCAACTAACACTGAATTGTATTTGAATGGCCAGAATCATTTATTTACAATAGCATTTGCAAAATGTGTTGACTGGTGGCCAAACTTTTTTTTTTTTCAAGAATGACTTTAAAACAGATCCAGTCAAGTACAGATAAAGTTGATGTTAGTATATTGTTAAGTATGGAATAAAATTTTTTTTTTTCCCAAGCTGAGACAAAGTATATTTTGAGAGTGTATTCAACAGATACAGATTTTAAAGTAATAATGACATTTGACACAAAAAATTCAGTGATATATAAAGAAAATGTCTTACCCATCAATGATGAGTTTGTCGAATGCTGCAGATTTATCACAGACAGGGCAAATCCATGTGGGTTTCTTCTCATTCATCATGAGAAATGTGAATGCATCAAAACATTGTAGATGTGTACATGTACTGCAACGGCAAGGAATCTGGAGGCGCATTTTACCAAGCTGCCATGGAGAAATTTAAAAGTAAATTTATTCTTATCAATTATATCTTATATTTCATGATTGATATATAATTTACAAGTTAGAAATTACATTTATGCTGTACATAGCTACTTCAAATGGTTTATTTTTATGTTTGGAATAAAAAGATTAATACCAGAATATAAAATATAATCATTTAAGTATATAACTAATAATAAGCCATTAGAAATTATTCAGAATTCAGTCTGCAGATTACAGTAATACTGATTAGATTCATTGAATCATACAATTCACAGGAAAGATTAAAAACTAATGTCTCAAATTAGTTTATAAGAATGAAGTAAATATTGGCAAATGTTGTATTTGAGAAGTTTAAATTTGTATTGTCAGTTAATACTAAATCTAAAGCTATAGTCTAGCAATTGCACTTTTTACAACATTTGTCTATCAAACATACTTACTGGACACATCAATGACACTCTAAGGCTGGTTGTTGCAATTTCACTGTCTGGATCATGCTGCAATTTTTCTTTAACTGTATAAAAAACAATTGATGTTGTAATTTTATATCAATTACAATATTTAGTTAAAATTAAATCTCACATATCTGTTGGCAATTTATGATATTTTGATTTTCATAAAATTCACATTTTGTGCAAAATAATATCCAAGGCAAAAGAAAAGAAAAATTATCCAACATCAATGGCTGATATTTAAAAGATCTAACTTACTCAAAGCTCTGGAATGATCTGGATGGCGATTACCAAACTGTTTTAATCTCTGTAGAAGAATGTCAGAGGTGAGCTTTTTCACCAAGTAAACAGCAACACAGTAACCCTGTCAGGGAAAAAAAAAAATTATAGCCTATATTAATTAGCTACAAAATTATGCTATACTTACTAAAAATGTCTGTGACATATTATGCATTATTTCCTGGTCAAATTATATATATATATATATATATATATATATATATATTATGGATTTACACCACTTTAATTATCCTCATCAAAAGTAATTGAAGTATTTTTCATTCCGTACAATTTAGAAGCTACTATAGGAAAGAAAATTACATCATTGGTTTGACATACCCGTCCAAATTCTGAAGCCCATGATACATCAACATGATTGGGCACTGTGGGTGACAAGCGACATAATGCTGTAATATCTACTGGACGTCCTGGTCGTTTGGGCTCTACACCAGGTTTTGTTGTAGGGATAGGGTTCTGAAAATATCATTTTTTTTAATAAACAGTTATTAATATTTTAAACTTAAAAAAATGCTTCTTGAATATTAAATCATAAAATTTTATACTTTAATGAAATCCAATTTTTTTGTGTGCCTATCAATATAATAAACTAAATATTTTATGTTGTCTTTATGCAAATACCTACCACTTTAGGAGTAGATTCTTGCAATTTTATTATATATGTTTCAATTTATTTAATTATGAAATCAATTTAAGAAAAAAATGATAGTAGCGCTCTATTCATTTTCTTACAGCCCTGAAAACTATATTTAAGATACTTAACATAGGCATACTCATAAGAAATGGGATTAAAACTTCTATTATACAATGTTATTCTGTTAATACCAAAGAAACATCCTTGCAACAGTAAAAAAGAAAAAAAGCTATTTCTATTGTTTTAACTCATTAGCTTTTATAAAGCATTTGTTGGAAGAGAATAATTTGCATACAACCTGGATAGTCCTTACCAGTCTGTAATGCTATGGAAATGTAAATACAAATATATTTTTTTTAAATCAGATTCCTGTTTCTTTATTAATCTACTCTAAGTAGATATTTTTTTATACCTTTTAGTTTTTTCTACAATTAATCAAAGCTAATATAGAAGCTTTTCTTTATTTTGATTAACAATATAAACTTATAAAATCTTTTCCTACTATCATCAGGTTTGCAAGATAGTTGAAATTCAATAAAAATTTAGCACATCATAGAAAAGGAAAAGAAGGCATTAGCAGATGTTTTGCAAGAGTGAAAAATATTAAAGTAATAAAAAATGCAATACAAAATTTTCAACGCCAATTTTGTATTAATAATATCAAATACAATAAAATACAAAATAAAACTTACAGGAAGTGTGGCCAGTTTTCCATTAACTCTCACACATATACTTGGAGGGAAATTGTCATCCTGTTCACAGCTTGTTTCCAAAAGGCAAAATCTATAAATGATGACGATTATAATCTTAAATTCAAATGTAGAGTTTACAATAATAAAATAGGGTTATATCTGGATAAATTAAATGAATATGTTCATTTGTTTCCAAAGAGAATGAGTGTGATTCATATTGGAGGATATAATGAATACTTCGTCACTTACCTCAACTGTACTTGAGTTGTATATTCACATTTAGCACCTGGCCTAAAATCCCTGTAAATATAAATTATTTTACTAACTTTTTTTTTCTTTTAAATGATACTGTGAATTTCATTGTTTATATATAAGGCAATGAATTGAATCAATAAAAAAAGACTAATCTTTCCATATTCTCTCAATTATCATTGTGGTGGAAAAGGAAAAGCTTTAATGCTTTTCTTTTAGGTAACTTATTAGGGAAATGGGGGGGGATATAAGTTTTTACAACTGAATTTTATATCGAGTTGGCAAAAATGTTCATTTTATTGTTGCACTTAGATAGCATTAGAAGTCTTTATTCTAAACTTCATTAAAAAAGAAATCATGACAGTTGCCATGCATAAAAGAAAATGGTGAAAATGGGTTTATTTTATTTATTGATTCTATCACTTAAGACAGATGAGAAGTAACATATTTTGGCATGTGTCTCTGGTTAAAATTTTTTGCCCACCTCAAGTCAAGCACCTTAGACACACTCAGCCATCCTGACATATGGCATTTTTTTTTCTTTTTTTAAAAAGGTAAAAAAGATTCAAATGCAAAAAAAAAAAAAAAAACTTGTACAATTTATGGAGACAGTTAAATGGATATGTCACATGTGGTTTGCAAAATTTCATACTAGAGAGTTCTTGTTGAATGATGCTCTATAGAGGAGTAGACAGTAACCAAAACAAGACATGGGTAGAACAAACATATAAATTAAACAATGAAAATGATTGGCATCAGCTTGATCACATTAGTTGCTCTAGTGTGGAGTTAAATGAAAATATTTGACTGGGCTGTATTTCCATGCCTGTTTCACAACTTGAAAATCTTATGTTTTTTTTTTTATACAAATTGTGAATGAAGGTAAAAATGTTATAATTCATAATAACATGGAATACAATAGATCAATCGGGTGAAAGTGGAGGGTAGGTTTAGCAAAATGAATCACCACTAACTGTAGCAAAAGCCTGGTCTTCACTCAAAGAAAGTGACACTGTGTGTATGGTAGCATTGGAAGAGGGTCATCTATTATGAGCTTTTTACAGAGAATAAACAATTGATTATACCTATTAGAACAACTGAAGGCAGTTAATAGATGGAAAACATCTAGAATTACCTAAGAAAATGGGTATAATATTCCATATGATAACACAAGATTGTAGATTTCTTTGGTGACAAGGCAAAAATTGTTACAGTTTAACTGGAAAATTTCTATTCAGCTGTCATATTCAACAGATATTGCACCTGCCTTTAGATTACAATTTGTTCTAGTCTTTACAGAATTGTTTTAATGGAAAAAATGTCAATTCCCTGAAAGACTGCAAAAAGCACCTAGAACAGTTCTTTACTAAGATAAGAAAAAAAAAATTGTGGGAGGATAGAATTATATGACTGCCTGAAAGATGGCAAATTAGTGGAACAAATGAATAAAATAGGTTTTGATCAATAATGTTAATATATTAAAAACTTCTTTAAAACAATGAACATTTTGGTCAACAGGGAGAGAGAAAGCAACAAAATGATCTGATATGCTTCTTAATACAAAAACCATAACTTGCCTGGACATAGCAATGTCTTGTGCTTGTTGTGGAGTTAGGTGGAATATGAAGAAGGTTTCCTGAAAACGACCAGTGGGCTTCGGGACTGAAAGAAAATTATAACTGAATGAAACATTTAAAAAAAAAAATTAGAGACATTGATTACTGATAGTGTAAATATGGGTGATGTTTTTTTTTTAAATGCTTAACATTTTAGCTTGTCAATGTTTTTTTTAAATATCTAACATAAAACTAATTCTACACTTATATTTCAAAAATAAGTTGTAATTGAATATTTCTCTCATCTTTCCATTTGGCAGGCTTTTCTAGACATAGTACTTGTTTATTTATAGTTGTGTATATTTTGTTTAAGTTAATATTATGCTCAGTTAATGAAATACATTAAAATAATATGCAATAAACATTGAAACAGGATATATTCAAAATTTTACAATGGGAACTTTTTTTGTTAAGAATGGAAGAAAAACTAAGAAATAAATCAGGTTCTTTAAATAGCCTAATGCCAGCTACAAATAATTGTTGATAATTATTTTTAAGAAATCTCATTCATTTTCAGCTGAACATTATTATTAAAGTAGCTAGCATAAAAAAGGAAGATTTTAGCCCCCCATTTTCTTTTTAGAACAATGATTTTTTCCCCCCAGATACAAGTCCTACTTTTTTAATCCATAGCTGGGGAAGGTGAGGGATTAACAATACCTTTTCCAAAGGTATTTATGCATAATTGAATGTAACAAACCAAAGTAGAATTTGAACCCGACTCTGATTTCTCATTTTAAATCATTATCCATTACACCACTCATATCGTTGATATGACTATTTCAAATTTTTTAAAAGTTTCATTGTGATACATTTATTATTGTTTTTGCTCAATGGCCCATCTACCCTCCAACTCTTTATTTTTTTTTTAAACATTGTGAAAAAAACAAAACAAAAAAAACAACAAAACAAAAAAACAATGTAGATGAAGTCTGATAGTTGCACTAATAATTTTAATTTTTTTTTATTATTTTTAATTTCCTCAAAAATAAGACATTCCTGTATTCACTTTATAATGTATGTTTTCAGTCAAGTTACGTTATTTTTTTTCTCCAAAGAACAGATCTACTCGGTTTTTTTATCTGCTTGAAAATTGTAATATTCTTGCCTGTATATATGGGTTTCTCCCTGGAAAGCTTTCAAAAATAAGGGATACAAGTAGAGGTACTTTTCTTTTTATAAACTAATATCTCAATATTATATAAAAAAATGTTGTTAAACAAGTGGATTTACTGCTTAAATAACTTTCTTAAAAGGAAAAAACAACAATGGATTTATTTATATGAGCAAATCCCTTCAATGTATGAATATTTCAAGTTTTCAGCTTTATCACTTCTAGCAGATTTTATTAAATGTCATTAGAATTGTCTATAGACAACAAAACAGCAGCACTGACAAAAATGTAATGATACATAAGAGAAATAATACTAATTTATGAATAATAAATATTGATACATAATACTGAGGAAAAACAAAAAAGGTAATCATAACATTATTTTATTAAAATAACATTAACATTAAATAACATTATGGAATGATTATAAGCAATCTGAATTTAGCATAAGTTCATTTGACTTTGTTTAGAAATGAATTGTTATGATTGAACAAACCTAGACTTGTCGGTTTCAGCAGTTCTCCCAAAATGTCATAAAATGGTAAGCGTTTCAGCCGAACATCAGGATGCACTGGTAAAGAACTCACAGGACTTGTGTGGTTGTGTTTACTACTAAAATCAATTGGGCCTGAAGAAGAAAAAAAGACTGCCCTGTTAAACAGAGTGAAGAACAATGTTATTAAATGAATAAATTTTTAATTCCTAGACAAACTTTGAAAACAAACTGAAATCAATTTCATTTATAAATTTACAAATATGAAAAGCAGTTATTGGTGAGACTAGATTTTAGGGTCAAAGAGGAAATATAAATTTAAAAAATTACTTAGCAGTTGCTACAATCTAATTTTGGTTCATCCGCTTCAATGAAGCTAAATTGAAGAGTTTGAAATTAAAAAAATAAACAAAAATGAAAAATTACTTGAAGAAATTGCAAATTTGGATCAAATAATATTGCAAAATGAAATCTTTCTACATGAAGAGATATTTAAGTAAATGTGCTGCTATTGTGATTATCGAAATTTAACATAAATGTGATTTCTAAGTTGACACTTCAGTGAATGATCAACATTAAAATGAACATGTCAAGATGCATAATGTAAAAATAAAATTTCAGAAAGGATTGGAGGATTTTGTCCAATTATCTTCAAGTTTATTACTTAGAACTGTTCAATTTTATCAGAATTGTGACTTAAATTTACAGCTTCAGAATTTGAAATGGTTCAAGTGAAATTAATCATTTATAAATGTAGCATTTTCACTTGAGGTAAATTTTATAATGAACAATAATTTAAAAAATAATGTTACATTAGAATATACTGACTATAAGAATTGCATGAAGAGTTTAAAATTCTAAAATATTTTCTATAGAATGAACACTTTCCATCTTATGTCAAATTAACACAAAGATTTAATTTCAAATTTAAATGTATATATATATATATATATATATATATATATATATATATATATATAAAAAAAGAGAACCAGTTTAAGTAGCTACTGTTGCCTTTTAAACATTACAAAATTCCTGACCAAAACATGTCAATACATTATTTTTCATGTAATGAAATAAATAAAACTATGCTAGTTTGAATTAGAACAAGAGATAAAAAAAATTTCTATTACCAAAAGAGAAGTAGTCATGTTGACTGATCAGAAATGAAACAATTTCAGTTTCTTAAACAATACACATAAAAACCCCAAAAATAAACAAAATTAAATTTCATCAAGACATACTTGACAAGATCTATATTTTGAAGTTTCAACACACTGATTGTTTTATGTTAATATTTCATGATCTTATTATACAAGTAAATCCTTTTTTGCAGTAAAATTAGTATTAACCAACCAATATTTGTAAAGATTTCAGCATAAACAATGATAAATCTATGTAAATTTCTGTTTATGTTTTTAACAGAAATATTTACAATAACTTATATGATGGTGTAAGAATTCATTATGCAACTCCTGGGTTGTCCATCATATTGTCATAATTGATATAGTTGAGATTTTTTTTTTTTTTAATTTCAGTATTTATGTATTATAAGGAAGACAACCTCAAAATAAAAACAATATTGCAAAGTTATTGAGTGATGTGAATATTAAAAATTTGAACATCAATCATGAAACAATAAAAAATAAAAAAAAAGAAATTGAAAATGTGGTCAAGATAAGAACAAGAAAAAAAAAAAAAATGCTTTAAGAAAGCCACAAAACAATTTGGGAAAAATTAAAAGGTTAATAAAAGATGATTGATCAACAATAAAATAGAAAAGCTGGTGTTGTGAATGTATACAGAAAAAATGCAGAACATTAAGAACAAGAAATACATGAACACAATCAAAAGTAAATTTCTGAAACATAAGTTGGTCAAAGAAAGTAATAAATGAAAAGTAATTTCTCAATAATGAATGTTAGTGACAAATGTAAAGCTATATGAGATAGACCTAGGGCTAAGATAAATTCTTTAAGAAATAGTCAAATGGGTCATTCCATGTCAAAACACCAGCAAAAAGTTGAAATCTGTACCCACTGACACAGAATTACTTGAAATTTGGCACAAATGTTCCCCCTCATGAGTTAGGAAAGTGTGCCAAATTATTTTGTGCTAGACTTTACTGTTCCATTTTTTTTTTTTTTTACAATTTTCCTATTTTACCTCTAAATTAATTTCCCTCAACTATATAAATAAGTTTAGTGCCAACTTCAAATATATTTTAAAGATTCATATTTATCTTATGACATTGAGAATGAAAAAAAAAAAAATGTTTTTTTTTTTCATGAAAATAATTTTCTAAAATAAAATTAAAAAGAAACACAAACAGAAAGAATTCAATTAACTTTCATTGTTAAGTGCCATTTACAAATTTTCTATGCACTGTTGATTATCATTACATGAGGTAATGTTTACCGCTTTTTTCTTTTCTATCTATCTGTACAAAAAATAAATATCTGCAAAATATATTTAAATTTTTTTTTTTTTTTACATTATTCAACTATTGTCCTCATCTTTGTCGCCATATTTATCACAACGTTTTTGTACGCCATCTTCAGGTGGTTGGAATTTCGAACTGAACCCTTTATTTTGCTCACTGGGGTAGACTGTTCTAGTTCCAGGTGCCATGTTTGGATGTCATTTCCCTCCTGTTAATTTCCCTCTGAAAGTTCTCCACTGCCTTAACCAGGTATTGAACTCACACTTTGGGTTCCTGTCACTGGATCTAACCAACACCTTTATCCACTGTGCCATGTGTTCTTGAGGACATCTGGGTAATTTCTGGGTATTATAAACCTAATGTCTTCAGCAACCATTTTTACCAGTGCTCATATTACAATTTTTTCTGTTATCATTGCATGTTTTTCCAGAGCTCATATTGCAACTTTTGTTGTTATTATTGCTTTTCTCTGGCACTCCTTATTACTGGTTCCCATATTGTATTTATTTCTATGCTTGGTCAGCTCAGGAGATTTTTGTGGCCTAGCATATGTGCTGATTCCTTAAGTTTACAAATTTTCCAATGGTGTTCCTTGTCTATGATCTCAACATGATCCCACAGAGGGCGGTGATCTCCCTTCTCTCTCCATATGTGGTCAGCCACGCCTGATTTTTCCACTTCCCCTCGTGTTACAGCTTTCTGGTGTTCTTGAAGCCTTACCTTGAGGGGGCGGCCTGTCTCCCCTTTATATTTCTTTCCGCAGCTGCACGGGATAGCGTATACACAGTCTTTAGTCATGTTCTCTCTCTCTGGGGGGGGGTCTTACTCGGGAGAGATATCTGCGAAGTGTCGTCAAGCTTTTGAAGGTTGTCCTGATGTTATATGGACCACAGATCCTTTGTATTTTCTCTGATAACCCCTTCACATAAGGCAGGCAGACTGTTTTCTGAGTGTTGTTGTCCTCCTCCTCTTGTACCCGCCTATCCCAGTTTTTTTTGGGGCTGCCATGTACCCAGGGTAGTTGTTACGTTGTAGGGTACTACTTATACTGACCAATTCTTTATCTAATGTCTCTGGGTCGCCACTTATGACTTTTTGCTCGGTGTTGTAAGCAACGGACGATCCCTTTCTTTACGCTGTATGAATAGTGGGAGTTGAAATTGAGTTACTGCCCGGTGAATGTCGGTTTACGGTATGCGGATGTCTTGCACCCATGCTCCGTTCGAGATATTAGAACATCCAGGAATGGGAGTGTGTTGTTACTCACTTTCTCCATTGTGAACTGTATCGAAGGCTTTATTGAGTTCACATGGTCCTGAACATCTTCCTGGTGTGGCCAGAGTATGAAGGTGTCATCTACGTACCTTAACCATAGAGTTGGCTTTAGAGATATAGATTCTAATGCCATTTCCTCAAAGTATTCCATGTATATATTCGCCATTGCTGGTGATAATGGCGAACCCATTGCTAAGCCCTCATCCTGTCGATATATGTGTGATCCCATTCCGAAGTGTGTTGTTTGTGTACAGAAAGTCAACATCTCCATCAGATTATCTATTGGAATACTGGTCTGTTCTTCTAGGGAAGAGTCAGAGGCCAATCTGTTTCTGACTACTGAGAATGCCTCCTCTGTGGGTACCTTGGTGAACAAACTCACCATGTCCAGGCTCACCATCTGGTTGGATAGGATGGGAGCATCTTTGATTATTTCCACGAAGTGGACGGAGTTTCGGACATATAAAGGAGACTTTCCGATCAATGGGTCAATTATATCTACAAGGAAGCGACTCAGAGGGTGGCACACAGAGCCTTGGCAACTAACCATCGGCCTGAGTGGAATACCGTCTTTGTGAATCTTAGGGAGACTGTATATGTGAGGTATTTTTTTTTAATTAATAAAAACAATCTTATTGAATAGTTTAAGAAGTTACTTAGTACAATATCAACATTTTAGAGGTCATGGAGCATTAGGATGATTGTAGGAAAATTTTTTTTCTTTCTCAGAAAAACCATTGCTACGAAAAAAAACTCTAAACTTGGCAATCTCATATGTTCTAAAAGTAGTCATAAAACCTTTGTCAAAAGTTTTTGATGAACTTGAGCAGGCATTGTAGATGTTAACTTTCAAAAAATATTTGTGAAAATTGAATAACAAGTTTTTTTTGATAGACTGAATGTGCTAGATACTTTCCAAGTTGATGATTTTGGGGTCATGTATTTGGGTGAATAAAATAAAATTATCTATCAAGTGTTTTAAAATATCAAATATTTAGATTCTACAAATCATTTTAGGTTATACCAAATTTCAACCCATTGAAGGTGGTGGTTCATTTTCCATTAATTTTAAAGAACACTGAGATTCGTGTGACGTTGTGTGGCCTTAATTTATTTCAAAACAGGAAAATTACCCCCAAGGAACGGTAACATCTAAGTCTTTAAAAAAAAATTCAGTTCACATTCCTAACTCATGAAAATGCCAACATTTATTTTTCTGCCAAATTTCAAGTAATTCTGTGTCGTAACAAAATGAACACAGTCCCAATGGAATGACCCAAATAACATTTTTTAGAATATAACAATGATAAATGTAGTAATATTTTGGAATCTTTGAAAATTATATTCTTTTCAAAAAAACTGATTCGTAAGATACACGTAGTTTCATTTTTTTTCTTTGACAAGTTGTGGCACTATT